ACAGACAGGCCCCTCCCACGATAGTTTGATTGACAGTAGCGTTTCAGCACAGACTGGACTGGTGTCTTACCTTAGACCCGCCCTGAGTGACTGTCATCACTCCGCCATTGTTTCCGCTGGAGCAGATGTAGACAAGAATGAGTCCTAAGCGATTGAGGTGTTCTGTTGTTGGATGTAATAATGAACAGCAGTCGTCATTTACTCCCGACATCTGAGCCGCTGAACTCGCAGTGGATTACATTGTTTCTGAAGGGAATGCGCCCCCGATCTACATAAATGCGTCTATGTTCGCGCGAATCATTCGTGATCCATCCTCATCTTCACAAGAAGTGAGTATAATATTTTGTAATGAATCTTTGCAAATCGCCTTTCCTAATAATGTGCTAATTAGCAAGTTTCACAATGAATGCGGCTAAAGTAAACGGTCTCTCTGAGAGCAGCTTGGAAGAGAGGGGCGGGGGCAGCAGAGCTCATTAACATTTAAAGGAAAATGCTACTAAAATGGCTTGATCTGAAAAGAGCTGTTTTTGACAGGTCGATTACGTTTGAAAATAAATTGTCACAAATAATTGTAAATGTCATTGAAATGACAGAGATGCTTACTGTCACTTGTCCAATGTTCACATCTAGATCAGATCCAATCCAGTGATGTTTTAAAATCTGGCACAAAAGAAAGATGGATGAATCAGTTATCGTAACAAACTGTAAAACAAATCAAAGATAAACAATGAAACTTGGGTCCAAAATAATTTTGTGAAATTACAAATGAAAAATAAGTGCAAGATTGTCTCTGACTCCTCATTAGAAAAAACACATAATGGCGAATACCCTTCTAATCTTACTAATAAAGTCATTACAATATTGATTAATTATTTTAAAATGAATATCATGTTTCCATTTCATGACAGCATTAGGAAAACGTCTCAGGTTACTTATGTAACCATGGTTCCCTGAGTAGGGAACGAGACACTGCGTCCTCTACTCAGGGAACCATGGTTACATAAGTAACCTGAGACGTTCCCTTTCATGGGAACTTCAAACTAGGGATGGGCGATATGGGCTTTAAAATATATCACGATAATTTCTGATATTTATTGCGATAACGATATCAATGACGATAATTTAGGGAATCCTGTTTCTTTAGAGCAGTGGTCACCAACATTTTTAGGCCCAAGATCCCTGGCCTCGGCCTTTATGAAAGACAAGATCTACCTATTGAAGAATTCATAGAAAAAGACATCCCAGATTGTACTTCAAATTTGAGGCCTTTTACTTAGTACTTTAATTAGCGATGCGCCGATCATAGCTGATTCAGAATTCAGATTTGCTTTTCTTTCTTTCTTTTTTTAATGGTCTGATTTTAGGTGATATTTATTTGCTACATATAACATCTGCGCGAAACAGCAGGTCTGAATGAGAAGCACTCTCTGACAGCAGGTGGCACTAATGAACAGGGTTGCCAGGTTTTCACAATAAAACTAGTCCAATCGGTTTTGAGGAGGGTTCCCCTGTAAAAATCGCATTCCGGGGGTAAAATACATGTTTTTCGGTGGGGATCTTCCAGTAAAATTCACATTCCAGGAGCTAAATATCACGTTATTGGGGACGCTTCAACCCGCGGACATGAACAACAACCCGCAGCAACAGTGTTACTTTACTTTTACTTTTACTTTTAGTCATTTAGCAGGCAATACTGTCCAAAACGACTTACAAATAAGAAAAAGTAATTAAAACTAAAAGCTAAAACTCTATATATACTATATATATATATATATATATATATATATATATATACATACACACATTTAAGAAAATAAAAGAAATTAAATAAAAATTACAAATGCGTACAACAACATTTCAAAACTAAACATTTAAATGAAAACAAAAAAATAAAGCGTGTTAAAGTAGCCCAATTCCGCGGGAAAACCGCGGACTTGGCAACACTGCTTATGAACCGACCGCAATATAGTGTTTCCTTGGATACCACTGTAAACAAAGCGATTGACGGGTTGGCGACCACTGCTTTTGAGAAATGTATTTTCTTTCCTATTTTTTATACAAAATAAAAAATAGCGTTACTGTTGTGAGCGTTACTGAGTACACACGTAATGTAATGACTGTTTAATTCATTCTGGAAGTCGGAGGGCGCCCTTGCGCAGAAACTCCACACATGCATAGTAGAAGTAATGCTCCAGGAAGAAGTATCCAGTGATCGCTGTAGCTGAATACAACGCAGATAAAGACATTTTAACTCTGGAAACCTGAAGACAATAAACATGCGATTGCACAAAATATATGGTATCTGTGTTCTTCAAGCAATCTTGGGTATTTTTATAAGGATAAAGTATATGTATAGTGCAATGCTAATCGACATAGCCTTTATCACTGTATATAATGCTATAAAATAGTATGATTTCTGCCTTATTCTGTGATACGAAACCACGTCTGATCACAAAAATTAGTTATTTCAAACACTCGACTATGTTATGAATTTAATATAGAGAGCATGTCAATAAATTAAAATATCTTTGTTGGACAACAGGTTTGTAAACAACTCATACACATGTAAAACTGTGTCGCACACGTGCTGCTGTAGTACATTTACTCAAGGCTCAGACTGATTTTTGTCGCACTATACAGCCCTATCCAAACCTGTTCCAGATTGTATAAGGAGCTGCTCAATTTCTCGTCCGCCTTCCTTCACGTCACTCCACACAGTCGCACACAGAAATATGTCAACAACTAGACTTTATCGTTATTATTGCGGGAAGACAAATTCTTATCGTGTGGAGAATTTTTACCGGTATATCGCAAACGATAAGATATCGCCCATCCCTACTTCGAACTGCGTCCCTCCTCGTCCACCACCAGTGTGCAGCATCCACCTGGATGATGCGACGGCAGCCATAGTGCGCCAGAACGCCTACCACACACCAGCTTATTGGTGGAGAGGAGACAGAGTGATGAAGCCAATTAGCAGATATGGGGATTGTTATGAGGCCATGATGATCAGAGGCCAATGGGCAAATTTGGCCAGGATGCCGAGGTCACACCTCTACTCTTTTCGAAAGACATCCTGGGATTTTTAATGACCACAGAGATTCAGGACCTCGATTTAACGTCTCATCCGAAGGACGGGGAAGAAAGGAAGACTCAGCCTCAGCTTCTTTGCCCTCCTCAGACATTATTAATGAAATAACATCATCCTCCATCGGCTCAATCTCGTGCACTGTCGACGATCGCCAAAGAGAAAACCCATCTTCAAACTCATCGGCCAGATCCACCTGCGATCCCCACGGGCTCATTCCCTTCCGTGCCTCAGCAGCGGTGGGTCCTGCATCGCGGGAAGCAG